CGCATTAATGCCTGACAACTGCTGGGAGAGCTGCATAACAATGCCAATTGTGAGTGGCATGCGCAGTGCTGATGAACGCACCAGCTGCAACATACTCATGTGAGCTTCAGTCTGGCTTGCTGCTTCCTCTGCTCGCATCTCTTCAATATCTTCCTCAACATGACTTGATGCACGCAGTCTCCTTAGGGCTGGAATGAAGTAAAACTTCAAAATGTGGGAAATAAAAAAAAAATCCCTTAGTCACAACGTAGGAATCACTGTGCAAAGCATTGTAAGGGGGGTGCCCTACAAAATGTCTTTAGTTAATATTCTAGTTAATATTACTGGGATAAAATGGCAAGGTGATAGAAGTGGCACTGCTTTTCAAGCCCGTATTTCATGTGTCACTACAACAATTTCAGACCTCTTATAGAAGTATTTTTTCTGCTTATTAAAAAAAAAAAAAAAAAACAGAAAGATCTAGAGTCCATTATCATGAGAAAGATCACATATTTCCATATAATGTCTTTCATCTTTATTGCCTTTCATCAAAAAAGAAAAAGAAATCATCCATAACTAAATTCTTAAGGTATTCTTATATAATTATCTAGTAAAGAAATTACTTACAGTTTGATGTCTGTCCTTAATACAGATTTAAGCAAAATGCTACTATCTATAGCATCTCAAAAAGCTATATAATACCCCAACTTTTCATTTGTTGTATAATGTATCAACCGACCTCTTCGTGCTTCATCCTCTAACTGGCGTGACATGAGCAAGTAGCGTGGAGATTCTGGACACACTGGCAGCAGCACCATCTGCATCACAGCTGGGACAATGGCAAGACCTAAAAGCAAAATATGTATCATCTACTCCACTCTAAGGATTACTGCTTATTTTGTTAATATCCACTAGCTTCATGTATGTTTTCTTCCCCTATGATACCCTAAAAGAACAATACCATTACCTAGGAGAAGAGGCCAAGCATTGCTATTCCCAAGAAGTTGCTCAATGCCAAGAACCTGTGAGAGGAGCAGGCCTACTGTGACAGCCAATTGGTTGACGGTTCCTAGCCCACCACGTAGGTTGAGAGGGGCAATCTCACTGATGTACATGGGAACTAGCGAGGTGTTCAATCCTGTTGGACATACAGCATTTTTAATGAAAAAGGTAAAAATCTAGGTCAATATGTCCTAACTATGAAGAAGTCTACAAGATAAGTATAATATACATAAATTTTTATACAGACTAAAAGAAATAAGAATATTTATAAAACCATAAGCATAAAATCAAAATGAACTGCACACAAGCATATAAAAATAGATCCTATTTAAAAATGATTGATAATAGGTCTTCGGTGCTTTTTTTTCAATTAACTCAGCTGGCATTCACCAATGCTCAAGTTGTTATTACTTAACTTTACATCCAGTAATACATTTGTATTATCATTAATAAATACAAGTTGATTCTTTAATACCATCCCTTGATAATAAGGCATTGTCACTTGAATAGACATGCAAACTGATAACAAAAAGGCAGAATACAAAGGTAATCTTCTAATATACATTGCACTAAATAAAGCTACATGAATTTATATACTTCCACTTGCATTGAATTTGACATTTAATGGCAACTTAACAGACACCTGTGGAATGTGGACGAATGAACAGAAAATAAAGCTTCATTCATGGGTCAATTTTTTTTTTCTGAAAATATAACAAGGATTCATGAAAAAAACCCACATAAAAAGTACAACATTGCAATTTTCTAATCTAATATCAATTCACTGATGCAATCTCAGTCCTACCTTATCCAACTGGTTGCTAATACACACATGAACAAGTAACAAGCTATTACCAGTCATTCCAATACTCACCGCAGTTAATGCCAATGACCAATCTACCTAGGATGAGCATCTCAAAAGAGTATAACATTTGAGAGAAGCCCATGAGACATGCTCCTCCCACTCCCAAAAGGTTGTTTAGGAGTAAGCCCTTCTTTCTGTAATATGCAATGCTTGTTAACAAACCCAAAATACAAATATATACAGATGAAAATAAAAATACTATTTTCAACAATGCTAAGCAGCGAGGGTGAAAGAAAGGGTTAGAAGAATTACTTTCCGATTCATTTACTTTTGAGGACTGTCTCTCATAAAAAAAAATTAATCAAAATTTCATCCCAGTACTGTTGCAAATTCTCTTTCATAAAATATCTGGCTGAGATGTGCTTTCAACCTCTATTGAAGAAGTTAATCATCATTAAATACTTGTGTGCTATAATCTCCTTAAAAAAATTAGATGAACAGTAATGATATAAAATTAATAATAATAATAACAATAAAAATAAAAAGGCCAATCTTTTAAAAACCCTTATCATTACATATGAAAAGTTCCTTAATACACAAAATACATTATATAATGAACCAGATTATTTATATCTATCAATACATTTCAGAAGAACCCATAAATCATTTGTATACAGAGCCTGGATATTAAGAGGCTCATAAGTCAGAGGTCCT